AATTCCCTGCTATTCACAAGGTTTTCCCTGGCCAATTCTTTGAGAAGTGGATGGCCTCTTCCTTCTTCCTAGTCTGTCTCAGTCTGCAAGCTGGGCTGATACCTGTGCACCATGTGCACCCCACTGGGTTTGAAACAGCAGTGGCACAGCCTCAAGACCACAGGAACACGTCACCACAGTAGGATAAACTGACAGGCAAGTTTGTCTCCTTTAGCTTGTACATAAGTTATAGCTCAATAAATAAAGAAAAATAGTAAAGAGCCTAAAGATGTTAATATTTATTTTATTACTGTTAGATCTAGTCTTATCTCAATCTCTCAGAAAGTCCCCAAAAAAATATTAAGTCTAACTGTTGATGAAATTGTTGTTAGCTGCTGTCAAATCGGCTTCTGGTTTATGGTGACCCCATGCACAATGGGATCAGACTACTGTGATGTACAGGGCTTTCACTGGCTGATTTTTCAGAAGTAGATCATCAGGTCTTTCTTCCTAGTCTGTCTTAGTCTGTAAGTACCACTAAAACCTATTCAGCATCACAGCAACATGCAAGTATCCACTGATAAAAGAGGTGGTGGCTTGGGGTACATTGGACAGGAATCAAACCCACAACTCCCACATGGAAGCCAAGAATTCTACCAATGAACCACCACTGCTCGCTGTTGCTTAGTTTTAAAAAAAAAAAAAGAAAAAACAAAACACTGCTGTCAAGTCAATTCAACTCATAGTGACCCCTCCTTGGGTTTCCCTGCCGGTATCACTACGGAAGTAGATTGCCCTGTCTTCCTTCCAAGGAGTGGCTGGTGGGTTTGAACTGCCAGCCTTCTGGTTAACAATCAAATGCCTTAAGCACTACACTACTGTCCCCAAACCATTTAGCTATGGGAACCTGGGGACCACAACAGTACAGGCGTTAATGAGAATCCAGAAGCAATTCTGACATTGGGAGACCTGTTAGAAACCAGCCACTTGCCTTGATAAGGCAGTCTAGGCTAATGAAAATTTAGGTTAATTTGCTTTTCACTCATGAGGGTAGTATTGACAATCTCAAGCAAACCACCAAACTCTAAATACGGATCTTAGAATAATTTTACCTTGTAAGAAAATTAATTAACTAATACATAATACAAATTCATAGGAAATTAACATATTTTATTCATGTGACACAATAAAGTGAAAAAACTATGAACCTTTCCAAGGCTCAGGTAAAGAAAATATGAGCTTGGACTATCTTGTGAGGCCAGAAAGTAAGAAAGTACTCAAAAAAAAAAAACGAAAAGAGCCTGTCACAAGGGCACAGAAGCCAATCTTAAAAAGTTCCCAAGACCAAAGCTGGAATAATTTGAGCAACAAATAATGATAGTATTGGATTATAACCCAAAGAATGACCTGAATAATCATGAGTATATACCAATATAAATAAATAAATGGGAAAGAGGAGCCAACTATTCCTTACCAAAAAATTCTTATCAATAAATGTCAAAGGAATGAGAGATTTAAAAAGTTACTATTGAAGGACTAGAGAAGCCTTTTGCTGAGAAATGGTAGAAGTATAACAAACTAACAGCCATGATTAAAGCAGAAATGATCACAAAGATTAATTTTCTATTTTTTCTTTCCCATCCTCTTCCCTCTATAAATAGAATAGTTGATTCTTCTCACGGACAATAATTCCTTCAGGATTGTTTATTTGTTTACATATTCCTTTGAGCATACAGCTTACCCCCACAGCCTGTTTCAGCTGATCACTGCAGTTTATGGGCCAAGACAAGACACTGAGTTTAGAGCAACCTAGATGCAAAAACGGCAAAGAGGCCACATCTTCCGACCTCCTCCAACCCTACAAGAGGAAGACAGGATTACCAGCAGTAACCCAAGGCCTATTCCTACACGGCCAGACATGCTGCCTCCCTCCATCCCTTTCTCCAACCGTTCCTCCCAAAGCACCCATCACCTCTCTCCTGGGTTTGATAATTCACTGCAGTGGCCACACAGAACTCACAGATTATGAGGTTTATTAGGGAAGCACCACAGGCTACAATTCAAGCTCAGGAAAAATGCTCAGTCTCTCTCCCAGCCCACCGTCCCTCGGCCAACAGTCTCTCACAGTCTCTTTCCCAGCAGTGCTGGTCCCTCGGT